TTTTTTAACATTTTCTAATGGTGGTGTGCCTCGTGATTTTTTTCATGAAAAAAGTGTGCCTTTGCACAAAAAAGGTTGAAAAACACTGATCTAGTCTATACTTTAACTAATATAGTAAACCTGATTTAATATAATGTCTGAATTAAGATGTACTTCAACATTTCAAACCAATCATATTCTAACTTTTTACTTCAAGAGACAGTGTCATATCATATTTTAAGACTTCTAATGCACTTAATTCAGGAACCTTAATGTATTCCTGAGGAAGTATTTTAGTTTTGCTGTTCTCCAATACATCTCTTGGACATAAAGTGAATGCTGCAAAATATAAGTGCCTTGGAAGCCACTACAGGTAGTCCTCAACTTACAACAGTTCATTTAATGACAATTCAAAGTTGCAACGGTACTGAAAAAAGTGGTTTATAACCATTTTTCACACTTATGATCATTGTAGCATCCCCAGGGTCACATGATTTACATTCAGATGCTTGACAACTGGTTCATATTGATTATGGTTGCAGTGTCCCGGAGTCCTGTAATCCTCTTTTGCAACCTTCTGACAAGCAAAGTCAATGAAGAAACCAGAATTACTTAACAACCATATTACTAATGTAAGAACTGCAGTGATTCACAAAACAAATATAGTGAGAAAAGTTGTAAAATGAGGCAAAACTCATTTAACAAATTTCTCACTTAGCAACATAAATTTTGGGCTCAATTGTTGTATGTTGAGGACTACCTGTAATTCTTTGCACTTTTAACTGTGAACTACAGCAATCATAAATGTGATAACACATTTGCAAAAAGTGTACAATATTATAATGAAACATTTTAACCAACAGTGTAAACTAATAATTATTCAAATATTTATAGCTGTATCCAGTTACTAAGGCATAAATATATGTGGCAAATTTTCTAAAGCAATTCTAAAACATTTTCATAGTGTACACTATATTAACATAAAAGGCTATCCAGCCTTTTCCCTTTAATATTCCTATCTGTTCCACTCATATTTTGAGACCAATATGTAAGACTAGCAGAATACAGTGGAAACTTGCACAAATTTACATGTGCACATATAGAATTGGGGTATATAGTCACCACCTCAAGAAATAGATAGGGTGTCTCTATACAGTGATACTAAAAGAGATTATAAAAAAGATGCAACCTTAAAATATATTGGAATTCTAATTCCCTAATGTTCAGTTCTAATGTTTTAAAGCTTGTGATCTCAGAGTCCAGATTTTTTAGGGCCACTGACACATTTCAATTTTGGCAATTGTGTAATCATAGTTACTAATTAAAAGATGCTGCGCTTTGCACACCAATGACTGCATTCATTGATAGCCCCCTTTGCAGAATCTAAAATTAAATCCCTTTCTCTCTTTTGATTATTTCCCATCATTTTCATTTATGCACAAATTTACAAATGAAACATGTCACCAGAGTTCCCTATTGGTATAGTTAGCTTCTCAATATGCAAAAACAGCTTTGTATGAAAAAAAGGACATGTTCTTTAATTAGTGTATTACAATAAACACTGTACTGTAATTTCAATGTACCCACACATATCTTGTAAGTTACTACAGGTAACAGCAACCAGTACAAGTTGTAATTTACTGCAATTTTACATCCAATTATATATTCTGTGCTCTTTTTAAGTGAACTATCACAATCATATTCCTTATGAAGATACGTTTAGGTTTTGGTTTGTTTTTCAAATGGAAAGGGAAGATCACAATTTCCAAAGAATGTTGTTTGATGACACATTTCTCAAAAAAAAATAATTAAATGTAATTAACCATTTTTAAACAGAAAACTGTGGCTGATGGATAAATGATTAGTTAGGAGTATTTTACTTGCAATTATATTGAGCTACTGCTGCAACGGCCAACTTGCATGCAGAATTTTCTATGAAACCCATCTTTATTAGCATGAAACAATGTGAAAGCACAAAATGAAGTCGCCTCAACTCAGTTCCTTAAGAAACTGTAATGAAGGACATAAATTACCTATGTACTAGGAAGTCTTTGCTTCCTAGATAAACTGCTAATGCTATCTTCCATGCCTGCTCTTCCTTGAAAGAAATGTCATTGAAGGTCTTTTCTATGTTAGAAAATAGCAACGTTGGGCGCCTTTTCTCCACATTAATTAGTAATTACAAAATAAGAAAAGTGGTTTCTCAAAAGGATTTGGTTCAGGTTTGTCACTGAAAACTGCCTTATAAGGTATAAAAGCCTGAAAGGAGGAAGCGCCTTTGACAAAACTAAGGAAGTTCCTCTGCGCTTGCTCATTAGAGAGGGCAGACTTCTTTTTTTCCACCCACACAGAGAGAAGTAATGCTGAATAAATGGCACATATGAACAAATCATGGCACTGCAAAAGGAAGCCACCAATCTGAAGGCTCCCCTCATCCCCGTATATTGAACTTAGTTGAAAATTATATACAGGCCAGTTTGACCCGAGAAAGGCTGGCGCTGGTTTTTTTTTTTTTCCCCACACAACACAACCCCCCTCCACCCCCCTCAGATGGCTATTTCCTAAACGAAATTAAGGCTGTCGACGTTCTTCTCCAAAATTGCATCCTAACAGCATTACCGGAAAAACGGCTGGACCGATGCAACAGCAAAAAAAATCCAAATCCAATCTCTTGCAACCTCTTCACTCCAAAAGGGGGGAGGGAGACTCAGCGGGCCAAAAGGGTCTCCTTCCCAGCCGCGGAAGGTGCTCTGTCATCCCACGCAAAGCACACAATGAATTAAGACCGCTGGCTACCTCGGTTAACTTTTTATCAGGAGGAGACAATGCAGCCTTCCCTTCTGGCAAAGGCCGAAGCCTCCCGCAGGATTGGAAAACGGGGGGACGGTTTGAACCCGGCCAGTTTAGGGCGTGACTCGCCCCCCTTCTGCCTATAAAAACCTCGTCTTTTGACGGCCGACCGCCGAAAGGCAGAAAAACGAGCTGCCGGGAAGAAGCCAGTCGGCCCGGCACTCAGAAATACCCTTCTTCCTCTCCCTCCTCCTCCCCACCTGCCACCCCCAAATGGCATCGATAAAGGGGGCTGGGTGGGTGGGTGGCTGAGGGGCAGGAAGCCCTGCCATGCCCGGTGAGGGGGTGAGAAGAGAGGGGAAAAGGAGCTCCGTCTCGCTCCACGCGCCCCAATGAAAGGCAGCGGCAGTCCGGCCGCTTCCCTTCCCCGCCCTCTCCGGCGCTGGAAGCCAACTGTCAGCCTCCGCCGCTGCCGCGCGCCCAGTCGCCCATTCATCTCCCTCTCTTTCTCTCTCTCTCTCTCTCTCTCAGGGCTCACCCGGTGCCACAGTCCACCACGCAGGCCGGGAGCCGCCCTGCCATCCTCCACGGGTTTGAGACGCCGCTGAGGAAAGGTGCCGACGACCCCGCGGGCCTCTCTCTCTCCTCCTTCCACTCTGGGGGAGTGAAGGCACCACTTCCGCAAAGGAGCGAGTCACTCCCTTACCCCAGCCTTGGCTTGCCTCCCTCCCTCCCCCCCCCGCTCGCACACGCACAGCCCCGGCAAGAGAGCCCAAGATGGCCGCCTCTTCCGTCGCTCCCTCCCTCCCTGAACGCGGCCATGGGAGGGGCGCCGCGGAAAGAGGCAAGAGCCAACGGGCGGGCGCGTCAAACAAAAGAGGCCTTTAGGAGAAGCGCGCACTGTTCGGCGGGCGGAAAAGAGAGGCGGGCGGGCGCTTGCTCGCGTTCGTTCTTTCACTTTGTTGAATCAGGGTTGCTCGCTGCCTTGAGTCGCCCTCCTCATTTTATCCAGTGACAGAAATGGTATCATAGGAAGCCGTGGTTTAATTTTTACGGCATTTTTAAAGCACGTGATGAACTCTTTCTTTGACCATCTTCCTAACTGGCTGCCTTCAGAATCCCGGCTTTTAAAAGGCAGTCGTTTTGCAGGGCTGCAGTAGCCTTAATGCTTGCATACTAGGCAGAATTTGCACGCCTCTTTTCAGAGCGAAAGGAAGTCCTTTGTCGGATGCCTTTTCGACTTGGCCTGGCATTTCTATCGGTATCTCTAAAACCATCTCACCCTAAAGGCCCAGGATACAAGTGAAAGGATGGGGAAGGTGGAGGTGTTGTTCAACTAAATATATATAAAATTAATGGGGTGTCTCATCAAGTTTCTTAGAAAATTTTTAAACCTTGTGGGATTTTTTCCCCCTTACATTCCAAGTTAAACATATTTCCTTGTGGTCTTCCATCCAAGGATTAACTAGGTCTGACTCTTGAGTGTTTTTTTGAGTACATACTAAGCTGTTTAGCTATAGTCATATAATTTAACATACAAAAACATACAGATACATTTTTATATTACTGACCAGTTGCATTTGGTTTAACACGAACAATTCTTGAAGCCTTGACTCTTTCCTAAACAAGCTATTTATCTACTTGATTTATACCCCATCTTTCTACTAGCCAGAATCCTGTACTGAAGCTTGCCAACTGTAAAGAAGATGAAATAAATGAAAATATAAAAAATAATAAATATAAAAAATTAAATATCAGAATAGTTGATTCAGCATTAAAAGCATGACAAAAGAAATGTGTCTTGACTGCTCTTCTAAAGGCAGAGAAAATAGATACTAAATGCAATTCCTCTTAAGATGTATTTCAAAACCAAGGAGCATTTATTTTATAAACTTATTTATAACTGAATCTTGAGTATGTATTTGAGATTAAAAGGATCATCCAAGACAAGTGACAAGGGCCACAAAACCAACTTGTGCTTCCATAAATGTATGTCTAAGGTTCACTGACCAATGATTTACTCAAAACCTCAATTTTCTTGGTCCAGATTCCATCAGAACTACAAACTAACCACCCTAGTTAGTTGCTCACAACACATTAGGTCAAAATGTGGTTGTCTAGTTTGTGATTCAGCATATGATATTAACATCACCTTTATGGCACAGATGCCTTCTTGCTTGCTTGAACACAATGATGTTCTCCATTCAGTTGTTTCCAACTCTTGGAGATTATATGGACTAGGTCTCTCCACATCTTACACTACTTCTTTTGAGTTTTTTTGTGATCTGGTAGTGTCAGCTTTTTATTTATTTATTTATTTTTGCATATTAAGTTGCTGGGATGGCGGCGACACCGGAGGTGCCCTGGCTCTGTAGGGGGGGCTGGACCAGGGCATCATGAGGCTGGGCGGCGTGTGAGCGAGAGTGGAATAGCCGCTCGCGCAACCCCTCTCTCCAGCTGTGCAGAGAGCTATTAACTGGAATTTTGAAGGCGCAAATCTGCGGGAGCCGGGCATCAGCGAACAGGCACTCACGCGGCTTGGCAATATCCCCAGTGAATGGCACTGTGCCTGGCTGGAAAGGGGGTTTGCCGGGTGGCTGCTCGTGACCATGGTCGCTTCATGGCTGTTGTGTTGCCCTGCTGCGACAGCGCAACACAGCCATTCACCTATGAGGCTGTGCCCAGCTCTTTGGGAGCCCACTCACAGGAGAGCAGCCACCCAGCAACCCCTCATAATAAGGCCCAAGCCATATTTTGTATGTAAAAAGAAAATAAGACCCTGTCTTATTTTCAGGGAAACATGATATATACTGTTACATAGCCAACATCACATTGTATTTTTAAATGTTTACATTAATTCACCTAACCATCAACTTCCCAAAACAATTATTGGCTCTTCTGCTCTCCATACACCATATTTGTACCTTATCCATGACTTTCTTCTCCCTGTCTCCTCCCCCTCCCTACCTCTTTTCTTCCCTGTCATCCTTCTCTTCTCTACTTCCCCTTCTCCTCTCTCCCCTTTCCACTCCTCCTTTCTCTCCTCTTCCCCCCTGCCCTCTGTCTTAGCCCTGACTATTACCATCATTACTACTGGTGCCTATCCCTAGAGGGAAACTTTGGTCTGGGCTGTGGATGGATAGTTGATGGCAACAAACTGAACTCGCACTTAAAAACTTTTTAATCAATTGCGCAACTATTTTAACTCTCACTCTTTCTTTGCTCTCATCTTTTTTTTTTTTTC